GTGAGCTCGCCCATGGACACCCGGCGCGCGATCGCGACCTCGGCGAGGAGCTTGCCCGTGTCCGGGTCCATCTCCCGATCGTACGGGGCGCGGTGCGAATCACACTCGGTGAGCACCATGCCTACGTACATGATCATTTTTAACAAGAAAAGGAATCCAATCGCAAGGATCTACCAAATGAAAAAATGTCGACGGCTGTCGAATAGTCGGCCGCGTGCAGCACTTCGGGCGCCATCCAGCGGTGTCCACCGGCGCCCAAGGTCATGGTCGCACTCGTCTCGCGCGAGATGCTAAAGCCGCCGAGCTTGGTGCCCTTTTTTTCGTCCAAAAGAACATTCTTGCACTTGAGGTCGCGGTGCACGACTGGTATCGCATGGAGGTAGGCGAGTGCCTCGGCAATCTGCACCAAGCTCTGGAGCTTGAAGCTCCAGGGCAAGCTAATTTGGCTGTGGCGCGCGAGGTGTCCTTGGAGGTTGCCGCCGTCCATGTGCTCCATGGCCATCATAAGGTCCATGGGTCGGTTCCAGCACGCGCCAAGGAGCGTCACAACATAGGGACTTGCGAGGCGAGAGAGGAGCAAGATTTCGCCGATCATGCGCCGCATGTTGGTAGCCGAGAGAAACGACGGCATGGGTTTCTTGATCGCGATGGTCTCTTGTTTGTACTGGGCGAGCCACACTTCGCCGTAAGAGCCTTGACTCATGGGCGCGACGAGGAGGATGTCACTGGCCTCGAGACGCAGATGCTTGATCGTGTCGAGCTCCGGTATAATGAGCGAGCACGAGTCGAGCGTCTCGCGCGGCTCGTACATGGAGGTGACGGGCGTCACGTCACCGTCGTCGTAGACCTCAAACACCACTGTCGACGAGTGCCGGTGCTGGCGGCGCCGACGCCACACGAACAGCAAGATCGCCGCCATGACTAGCACGAGGCACCCCGCGACGATCTGAACGAGCACAGCGGTCGATGGACCGTCCGTGGTTGCATCGGCTAGCCAAGTGATGAGAGAAGGTATAGTAACGTGAGAGAGAGGTACGGGCGGGAAGGACGCAGATCGACCAGGTGTCCAGGACGGCAGGTCGGCCGAGCACGGTGTTGCACGCTGTTGCGTTGAACGTGACGCTTTTGAACGACAAGGTGGCGGCTTGCAGTGCTGCGTAGGCGGCTTCGTTCACGACAAAGGTGGTGATGGCGCAGTGCGGGCAGTCGCTATATCCCTCTCCATGGTGAGCGTTCTGTCCACGTTTCGAGTTGACCGTACAAAAGCCGGAGCCGCGCCGAGAAGGTGACGTTGTATATGGTGTCGATGGGGTTGCCAGGAATGTCGTTCCAGACGGTGCTTGCAGCGGGTAGCTCGCCGAAGTACCTAGCGTACTAGCGTAAGTCGAGAGCGGAAAGAAGAGGGGCGCACAGGTTTTCAACGTCAAAGTCCACGCTACTCAGCGCCGAGAGGCGATTGCTCTCGAGGTGTCTGCGCATCGAATGCGTGAGAATGAAAATGTGGGTATTGGCGACATACAAGGAGCCGATGCGTGGCGGCAGCTGCTCGAGCGACGTTATAAGACACCCGTCGAGGTATCTGTGGCAGAGAATTGTGACGAAGTATCAAAGCAACCACAGCCTACAAGGCATCCAGAGCGCTCGGAAGACCCTCTGGCACGGCGGTCAACGGGTTGCGACTGAGGTGCCTTCGCAGTCATGATAAACGCGCTGTCGATTTGCCCAGGATCGACGTACACTTGGCGGAGCGACGGCGGGTACACCAAAGCAGCGGGACGGATGTCCAGTCACACTGCAGAAAGCGTCTGCATCAGTCCATCAGTGGTCGCTATCATCCATGAAGCCGAGAATAGTCGTCGTACATGTCCTCCAGCGCCGTCGGGAGCTTTATATGGTCGATGCGCAGGCCAGGGCACGTGTCAAATTGCCTATACCATGACAAGTCCGTGTCAGTATCGATTGTCCAACGCAAGGCAAAGCATACAAGGGCACGTCCGTCGGCCACTCGGTCATATCACCGACGTTAGAGACGTTGCGAAAGGCAGGTGTCGCCGCGGTCACGGCGAAGCTCG